GATTTGGTAAATTTTAACAATAACATGTTCCATTGCATGTTTGTGCCTGTAAATACAACTGTTAGATCTCATTAAGGCAGAATAGAAACCTGGGGAAACTGGAAATGAAAAGAGAAAGAAAGGAGTCCCTCATCCAAGAGTCTGGTCACAGCTGCTTGCAAATTGAGAAGCAAGAATTTCAACGTAACTATCAACATATGTTGTGAACCTGCTAACATAGAAATAATATTCCTTTCATATACAGATGCACTATGTTAAAATAGAAATAAACTTGGCTTACGGCCTAAATGTATATGACTAAGGATAGGGCTTCATCCCTTTCCCCTGGCTGGTTGGCTGGCCGTTTGCTACGACAGGGTCACACTACATAGCCTAGGGTTAACCCGGTGCTTGTAGTTTAAGTTTGTTCACTTGAGGCAGTCTAGTCTACAAAGCAAGTTCCAGGGCAGCCAGAACTGTTACAGAGAGAAACCCTATCTTTAAAAAAAATTATTTTGAAAACTCTTAAAAGGGTACTCTGGAACCCTGCTATTCCTATAGTGAAATCGGTAGAGACAAAAAATCAGTATGAAGAGCAGCAGCAGAGATAACAAAAGACCCTGCTGCCCCGCCTCAAAAACAAGGCAGAAAGGACTGAAGAGATGGCTCAGCAGTTAATTACTTGTTATTTTGCTATTCTTGACAGAGGGCAGGGGTTCAGTTCCCAGAACTTAAACAGTGACTCACAACCATCTGTAACTTCTGTCCTAGGGAATCTGACACCCCTTTCTGTCCTCCACAGGCACCAGGCAATCAGTATACATACATATATGCAAGCAAAACACTCATTCTTGTAAAATCAAATAAATACACTTAAAATCAAGCAAAAGCCAAAATGGAACAAATGAACAAACTTAAAAATAGTCATATGACCTCCAAACATGCACCATGTCATGTCCACAATCATACAAAAAGGAATAAACAAAAATCTTTACAAAAAGTAACGGCCCTGGCTGTCCTGGAACTCACTTGTAAACTAGGCTGGCCTTGAACTCGGAGATCTGCCTGCCTCTGCCTCCTGAGTGCTGGGATAAATGGCGTGTCCCATCACCGTGCAGTCATGTAATATTGTTATACAATTCTAAATATGTGTTTAAAGTCTCCTGTCTCTGTTAAGCTGTCTCTTCACCACCATAACAGAACCTACACAGAAAGGCCTATGCTACCGTCGTCATCATCATCATCCTCCTCCTCCTCCTCCTTTTTTGTTTTTTCAACACAGGGTTTCTCTGTGTAGGCTTGGCTGTCCTGGAACTCACAACTCGGTAGACGAGGCTGTCCTGGAACTCAGAGATCCGCTTGCCTCTGCTTCCCAGGTGCTGGGATTAAAGATGTGTGCCACCACCACGTGGCAGAAAACGTTTATAGTAAAATCTACATTTTTTTCATCAATAACTTTTTTTTCTTATCCTTATTCTCACTTTTGAAAACTTTAAACATGAATTTTCAGCAACCTAACTAAATCTTTTCTATTTTTAAACCATTTTCCAGTGGGGCTAGTATCACTTGAAGAATGGCAGCAGCCTAACAAACTCCACTCCCTAAAGTCTAATGGCTCAAAGCCTCCTGGGTAACCAAAATCCCCAGATACTTGCAACCAACTTAGCAACTACATACGTAGAAAAGCTGCTTGAAAATACAAAAATACACAAGTTGGATAAAAATGGTATTCACTGAAAGAAAATTCTCTGCCATAGCAAATCTGCACCATTTACCTTTTTTAAATTTCACTGAAATTGTTGTAAAATGTTATCAGCCAAATAATGGCATAAAGTATTTAAATTTTTTAAATGGAAATGTTTACTTTAACAGTATTTAGCATTCAGAAATAAGTAGTATTTTGTACTTGTCACTTCATGTGAATATAACATAAGGCCATAATAAAAGGTCAATGGTGTTTGGTTCATTCCTCTTTTCTACAGTATTGTAGTCAAATGACACCTGCTATTACATTACATTTCTAACACTAAGCCCAGTCTAGTTATCACTATGAAAGCAAAGGTCACCCTACAAATGTGTGGGCAGGCAGATTTTTGCACTTCAGTGGTTGTTTGGTTTAGCACAGTAAAGGTTCAGGTTTGGCGTTTTGAGACAGAGTTTCATGGTCCATGATGGCCTAAAACTCACTGAGTACCAAAGGATGACTTTGAATTTTTAAGCCTTCTGCTCCCCAAATACTGGAACTGCAGGAGCATGTCACCACGCCCTGCTGGCAAAGCATTGCTTTTTCATCTATTTGTTTAAAATCTGTGTTCTTGTGAGCACATACATGGCAATGCATTTTTAAAGGGGAAAACCATGGTTCCCAAAGAAGCAAATATTAAAGAGAAGAAACCCACCCCCTTTTGTAGTTTCTGTTTCTCATACATGCCTTCAGTTTCATCCCAAAGATTCAGCAGTTTTTACAAGGAAAAGTCATTTAAAAAAAAAAGCTTCAGAAAAAAGCAAGTAGTTCACTAATGATGGCTAAATCATCATGTACTCTAGTTCATGAGGCTGTTAACTTTGAATGAAATGACCAAATTCAAGTCACTGTTGGCCCATCAACTAGCTGATTAAACAGAATTATTCAGAGACTCAATCTCTCTCTCATAGTCACACTGAACTTTGTGGAGTATTCCACATATATCTCTAACATGGGAAGAAAACCACATCCCCTTTATTTTTTTTTTTTTTTTTTGAGACAGGGTTTTTCTGCGTAACAGCCCTGGCTGTCCTGGAACTCCCAGTGCTGGGATTAAAGGTGTGCGCCACTCCCACTTTCTATCACACAGATGTCTTGGGTGGAAGGGACCCAGCATTGGCCTTTACATGAAGCTAACAAGAGCATTCACTTAGAACCTAACTCCAGTAGAAACAAAGAGCACAAAGACACATTAAAAGACACTTGGGAGACACAGGCAAATTACTGCAGCACTTACTTCCAGTGAGTATCTAAAACTCAACCTTTTGGGCAGGGCTCTAATACAAAAAGTGGCTTTAATCAAAGGGACTTAAAAAACTGCACAGACATTTTAATTTACGTTTTGTTCTTACTTTTACTATTGGACTTTTAATCATTTGATAAACCAGGCATTCATCTTACAAGCATAGATCAAGTTGGCTGCTGTCATTTAAAAGGTTGCTAAAGCTTTATACGCATACCATTAATTCACTGGACTTTAAAATCAATCTTCACTCAATTTTCCTTAAAATTTTATGTTTTAACTCACCTACTGACTGATACTGTTAACTTCTTGGGGAAATTCGTGGTTCTTCCTTCAAACCTATTCTCTACAAATGCATCTGTATCCCCAAATTGGCAGTGATATAAGAACGTAACTGCGAACTGAAAGACTCCCAGAAACCGCAATCCAAACACACCAAATACTACTCAGCTAAAAATGTCCTTATGACCACAAAGATCAAAGGTCAGAATATCAAGACATTGTCAAAACCAGAAAAGCTTTACACCATTACAAAAACAAAGTACCATGACAAAAAAAGCCCACAACTCCAAGTCCACCTACTTGCTATTCTTCAGTTATTAACTATTGCCCCTTTCACATTCTAAAAGGTCCCGGCTCTGAGGAAAAATTCACAGGTTGTGATGGAAGGCGGAATGGTAGTTACCTTGAGGGAAGAAGAAACCAAACCGAATTCCAGGAATCCCTTTGGGGTGGGGACCGAAATTTTTCTATTTCTTAATGTTTTGTACATCAGGACATGCATGTCTGCAAAACAACGCTCGAGTGTCTGTGTGCTCAAGTGTCTGTGTGAAGGCAGTGGGTCCCCCTGGAACTGGAGTTACAGACAGTTGCGAGCTGCCTTGTGGGTGCTAGGAATTGAACCCGGGTCCTCTGGAAGAGCCACTAATGCTCTTAACCGCTGAGCCATCTCTCCAGCCCCAAAAAGGCATAATTTCTTAAGTGGACTGAACTGCCTTCTCTAAATACCTGTGTTCAAATAAAGCTCACAAAATTATCCTGGATATAGCCAGCACGACGGTTTTTCCAACCTATTTTTATAAAGACACATTATTGTCAGTGCTTTTATGCACAACCCTTAAATCTCGTTTTAAGAAGTCTCCATAATCTCAGAACCACAAGGACGGTGGTGATCTACCGTTTACCCTTCTCTTGCAAATAAGGAAAATCAAATCTACATTGGGTGGATACCTATCCCAAGATAAGGTGGCAATAACACAACTGGGTCCTTATCTCAGGCCTCTCTCGTGGGCCAACGGGGGCCGTTCTGTCCCTGACGCTGCAAACAAATCCGCACTGTGCATCTATCTACCTGTGGCCTGGGAGAGCTCAGCATCCGCCACGAGGTAGCAGGCCCCAGTGCGTGCTTAGGAAAACACATTCACCTTCGTCTTCCATGCTATCGAGACAGCTGCCAAATCTACAGTCACCTGCACAGGCATTCTGCTTCCGACGAAATTAAGTCTGACACCTTGAAACCGGGTCTCGGGAGAGGACACACGCAGACATTGACCAAAATCCACCTTACTTCCTTCGGATTTTTTTCTTTTTCTTTTTTTTTTTTTTTTGGATGAATACCGGACTCACCAGACAGACACCACCTGGGTCCATTAACCGCCGTGAGCGGCCCGCGAGGAAGAGCTCCCACCAAGTAAAAAATAAATAAATAAATAAATAAACCAGCCCCACTTGAGACAGGAGCGTCCCAGCCGACTCCAGGCGCGCACTGCGAGCTCTGGGGGGTGGGGGACACCTGGGGTTGACAGCTGAGTTTCAGACCCCACGCCAGCAGCTGGCATCGTGGGGAAGGGGGGAGAAAAAAACTTAACGCGACCCACATCCTGTCCGCGGGGATCTTATTCCCGGTCTCGCCGGGCTTTTCTGCCCCGCAGAGCGCAGGCCTTGCTTCCCAGGACACTCGGGCTCGTCCCTCCGGCCCTTTCCACGGGGAACAAAAACCCAGACTCGGGAACAGAAACCCGAAGGGTCACGGACCTGCCCAGTGGCCTCGGGACGCTGACCGGGTCCGCGCAGGGGAGGATCGGGCGGGCGGCGGCGGCTCACGAGCCGAGGAGGCCGGGGAGGCCGGAGCCACCGGTTGCGGCGGCGGAGGAGACGGCGGCGGCGGCGGCTGGACGTTCGGCCAGCGCGCGACGGCCGCCTGGGGCCCTGCGAAGTTGAGAGGCCGCGCGGGCTGCGGGTTCGCGCCCCGCCCGGAGCGAGCCCGGGGTTGTCGGGAGGGGGACCGAGGGGGGGCGGGTCCGCGGGGGCTCGGCGGGAGGAAGCTCGGTGGCGGGGGCCCGGAGCCCCGCAACTTGGGCGCCAGCGGTGCGGGCGCGCGCCGCTCGCCCGTTCCCTCGCCCCCGGGCCCGCCAGCCGTGGCCGCGAGGTGTCCGGGCGCGGCCCCGCCGGGCCCCGCCAGCCCCGCCAGCCGGCGCGCCGAGCCTCGGGACCGCGCCAGGCCGCGCGCCGGCGCCGCGTTACCCCCCGCCGGCCCCCTCCACCTCACCCCCGCGCCCAACGCGCCGCCGCCGCCCGTTGGCGCCGCCACCCGCCGGCTCCCCGCGGTTCCCGCCCGCAAAGTTGCCCGGCCTCGTCGGGAGGGCGCCGCGCCGCCCCCATCAGGCCGCCGCGCGGGAAGGGCCCAAGCCGGCCGCCCCGCTCTTTTACCTGACGGAGTTTTCGCGCGCCGCGCCGCGCCGCGCGCGCGCGCGCTCTCGCTCGCTCGCTCGCTCTCCCCTCTCGCTCGCCCGCTCGTTTTCTTTCTTTCTTTTCCTTTTTTTTCTTCTTCTTCTTTTTCTTTGGCGCTCGCCCGCCCGCGCGGGGCGCCTTTTCCGCTCGCGCCGCCCGCCCGCTCGCGCCCTCCTTCCTGCTGGGCCCGGCAGAGCGGGGCGGCCGGCAGCTCTCCCCGCCCCCCTGCACCCGCGCTCCGGCGGAGGCGGCGGCGGCGGCAGCGGCGGCGCCGCTCCGCGCTCCGGCTCATTCCAATATGGCACGGACGCAGGGCGCATGCGCCCGCGCCCCCCCCTCCCGCTCCCTCCCCTCCCCTCCCCCGGGCTCCGCCGCGGTCCTCGCCTTGCGCGTGTGGCGCCCACGGCCGCAGCCTCCCCGCTGCCAGCGGCGGCTCGCGCGGGGCTCCCGGGAGAGGAGGCGTCCGTGGGCCCCAGGCCCGGTGCCCGCCGCGTCCCCAGTCGGCGCCTCGCCGAGGACGCCCCCGAGGCCGGGGGGTGGCGGGGCCGGGGGTGGAAGGGGGAGAAGCGGAGGCGGGGGCCTCGGATCCCCGACGGCGCCGTGGACTGCAGCGCGCTCCTGGCCCTGCGTGGGTTCCGGAGAGAAAGACCTCACCTCGGCTTCTGGACAGAGCGGTTCGGGACCCGGCCGAGCCCCGGATCCGTCCCATCCCGGGGGAAGCGCTGCCACGGTAGCCCGCACGTAACCGCCCCGAGCGAGCGAGCTGGCATTAGCAGAGCGGCCGCGGCTCGGCGGGGCCCTGACGGTGGGCGCGCCAGCCCGGCCACGGCGGGGATCCGCGCGGGTCGCCGGAGACCCTCAGCAGGGCGCTCCGGTGCCCGGCTCCGCCGGGGCCGACTCGGGCGACCTCGGCCTGCCCGACGCGCTCCGGACGCGCTTTGTAGATCATTCTCCCTCCCCGCAGCGAAGCGGGTGCACGGTGAACCGAGATCTCCGGGAGGGTGAGAAGCTCCGGAAAAGCTGCGAATCAGTCTCGAAGAATCCCGGGGTGCCCACGGGCGGTTAGTTAGGCTCGGCGACTCACCCCTGATCCCCCGAAAGCGCAGGTGTCAGCAGGAGGCACACACCTGCTCCAGAAAGTTCCCTCAGAAGGGAGTCCCAGCGAGATCAGACTCTCCAGCCCTCGAGGGTCTCCTGCCTTTGAGAGAAGAGGAGGCGCCCACGCAGAGAGGCACCCGCCACACACTGTCTGGGGATCTTCACACTAGGCATCTTTCTGTTTTGGCAACCTTAGGAAATAACCCACATCACAAACTTGATGATTTTTTTTTGTAAGTACCACTGAAAAGGTAACAGGTGAAAGGAATGTGTTAAAAAAAAAAAAAACCATGGCCGCACAATTTGACTACCCAAACAAAACCTTCTTACATAGCTATTTTTACGTGCTTGCAAACACCCGTTTTATTTTCTACTTTGACTGGAATGTTGTGTTTGCATGATCACTTTTAAGGTATGCAGTTCCTACTTTTTTTTTTTTTGTATTTTGCTTCCTTGCTAACAGATCCTTGAGATCTACACGTGGGATTAATTTCTAGGAGTGGAAGGGTTTTCAGGTGGAAAGCTGTGAATGGCCCTATATCGCCCCCAACCCCTTGTCCTTTCAGCAGCGAGGAACAGCATCAGGAATCCAATGCACATTTCTAAACACCGAGTGACATCTCCCCCCCCCCTTAATAATGCCTACACTAATCATCTTGAACGATCAAGATTACCTTACTCAGCATCTTTTGGATGACTAAACACAAAATTTCCCCATTTGCTGTCTGTATTTCCCCTTCTTTGACCTGTTGTTCATATCCATTGTCTTCAGGAGTTGAATCTCCTCTAACTTTAAACAAGCCCCCCTTTTTTTCTGTTATTGATGCAAATATTGCCCAGTGGGATGTTCCTTTTTGTTTTAGTTTACAGTTTATTTGTCATCCTAGTCCTCTGCTTTTTTTTCATTGTTTGAATGCTAACAGTGAACTTTCATGTACCCCATCTGCTAGCTTGTATAATTTCTTTGCATATTTTATTATCTTATAATCACCTATCCAACTTTATTTTTGCTGTATTTGGAAGTAAAATGTAGATTTAAGCCGGGCTGTGGTGGCAAATGCCTTTAATCCCAGCACAGGTGGATCTCTGTGAGTTCGAGGCCAGCCTGGTCTACAGAGCTAGTTCCAGAACAGCCTCCAAAGCCACAGAGAAACCCTGTCTCGAAAAACAAAGCAAATGTAGATTTAATCCCCCTCCTCTGTCACAATGGTTATTGTTTATGCAGTCACCATTTATTAAATAATTCTCTCCTTAGCTTAGCAAAACCTACCATTTTGCTACACTTTGCTTTCAGCTTGCGTATTTCAGAATCCTCCTTTTTCCTCCTCCCCTCACCAGCCCCATAGACCCCGGTTTCAGCAAACACTGTATAGTTATAAACATCGGTTTCCCCATCTGCCAAGGGTGAGTTCCCACCATGAAACTCTTTCTGAATAGCACTGGTTGACACGCCCACACACATTCCAGGATAACTATATTAGGAAGGGTGAAGAGCATTGGTTTCCGAGGGCCAGAGATGGCTCAGCGGTTAACAGTGTATATGGCAGGAGACCAGCGCCCAGCTCCCAGCGCCCACATGGAGTTCACAGCTGCCTGCAATCGAGCTCCAAGCGATCCCGTGCATCGCGCACCAGGACTCCACGTGCTCGCGCCCACACAGAGGCACGTGATTAAAAGAATAAACAGATGATGAACTTTAAAGATAAATGAGGTGCAACACTGAGCAGCCCTGTGACCCTGGCGAGTTACTGCTCCAGGCCTTACCATATGGGGACCCGGGTAACACCACCCCACGAGCCCAATGGCGGGCACTCAGTAAGTCCTTAATGTTGGCTCCTGCTGTGAATCATGTTTTCTGTTCCAAAGAAATATATATACGGGAGAAATATATATACGAAGAATGTCACAATGAAACCCGTTTCACTAATAATGATGATGATAATAGCCAAAGGTTGTAGTAGCAAGGTTGGAGCTGGGAGTAGTGGAATATGGCCTGCGGTCCCAGCACCCAGGAGGTTCCAGAAAAGTGGACCAGTCACGGTAGCACAGGCCTTTAATTCTAGCACTCAGGAGTTAGAGGCAGGCAGATCTCTGTTTGAAGCCAACCTGGTCTACATAGCAAGTTCCAGAACAACCAGTGCTAGCTACATAGAGAGGTCTCATCACGTACACGCAAGCACACGCACTCACGCACACGGCACGCATGCACGGTTGCAACTGACGTGGAAGTGCATTAATCTAGAAACTGATTTCAACAGATCAAATACTCTATAAACATTTTGTTTTCTGACCCAGGACCTAGGCGTTTGATGTATTTAAATTCTCAGAAGCCAAGTCCCTTGTCAGTATTTCGCCACTGCTCACCTCTTGGCCCCTAGTGACGAAGGGCAAGGGAGCACATGGAACTGCTGAAACAACCCTTCGGATGCTTGTCTGTTGTTGCGCCTGTGTGGGTGTGGGTGCCGGCCCCTCCCAGGGCCCCTCCAAGTAGCCCGTGAATGCATTCCCTAGAACAGACCAGGAGATTTCGAATGATCCACGATGTGAGACAAAGCACCACCTGGCCAGCTCCAGCTCTTCAACCTTCCGCCACTGGGAGACGTGGATTGGGGGTGATTGACAGAAGAGGCACTTGAGGACAAGCAACCCGATTTATGGCCATAATAACCCCCCCATAAAGGCTCTCCAAGGTTTCCTGATGTACCTTGTATAATTCAGAGACCTTTATTTGGAGCTGCTGTTGAGATTAGCCCCGCCCACCTCCCCATAGTTACCGCCATCTCATTGTTCCAATGTCTCTTTAACGAGGCAATTTCCTTAGGTCTCTGACTGCTCCACCTGCATATGTGAGTCAGGCTTCCCCCTCTCGTGTCCTCCTTCCCTTCCTTCCTTCTTCCTTCTCTCCCTCTCTGCCAGTTCCCCAGACAGTTTATACCCGCATTTGCCATTTGCCTCCCTCCCTTTCCCTGACCTCTGACAAAGACATGCTTAACTCATCACTGAGCCTGGCCCAGAAGATGCAGTAAGACAGGACAGCTAGCCTGTCAGATGTCAGCACTTAGAGCAGAAGCCGGTTCCTGTCGGTGATGGCGCTCACCTTTATTCCCAGCACTCGGGAGGCAGAGGCAGTCAGACCTCCAACTACAGAGTGAATCCCAGAATAGCCAGGGCTACACAGACAACCCAGCCTCGAAAAGCTGCAACCAAACAAAAGAGCAGAGGTTGGCATTCCCCTGAGGAACCTTGACAATGCCCTGCTTAGTCTCCACTCCTCGCTGGCTCTGTCAGGGGACCTGCAATACCACGGACCCTCAATGACCAATGGGTCTAGACTTCCCCACCACCCTCCT